AGTCCCTTCATTAATTACAACATAAATATCACAGATTAGACTGTTGATTTCTGTGCACTTGTGACAAATTTCGTGACTTTTCAGCAGAAATTTCAAAGCACATAACTTTGTTTTTAAACTTGTTACGATATTTAAACTCCATTTTCTTAATTGTCATAAAAATATAATATTCGATCACATAGTAAATATCTGACGATAGATATTTACTGTTGCAAAAGTGACCAATCTTGTAAGTGAAAATCAGTTGCAATAATAAAGGAGCAGCAAGTGCGAACTAATAGCAAATAATTTCGTTGCATATTGTAATTACTAAACGATAGTAATTACAATATGCAACGAAAGCAAGCTAACAATAAAGAAACAGATTTAACAAGCAAGAATAATCCGGTTACGATATTAAACTTGTGACAATAATGAGCCAGTACGATAATAACTGCACAGTTAAGAAAATCAAGAAAATAAATTATGATGGTAATGTATAATAATGATTTATAATTTATGTGCTATAATAATGATTTATAACTTATGTGTTGTAATATAATATAATATATTGCATGTGATAATATATATAATTTTTATTAGTATAATTAACAAGATAGGATAACACGCAAAGGATAATAAGCAGGAATAATTTAGGAACAACAGTAAACTATAATAATAACAATAACAAACCGATGCGGTAAATAACCAGTACAAATTGCAGAAAATAAACTAGTAACAAACCATTAGCTAGCAGTGGAGTCAACTAGTAGAGAGTAAGAATCTAGTAACAACAATAAACTAATAATAATAATAATAATAAAAAAACTAATAGAGTGAACAATAAACTAATAAAGTAAAGAACAAACTAATATACTAATAATAATGAAAAAACTAATAAAGTAAACAATAAACTAATAATAATAATGAAAAGAAATGAAAATAATAATGAAGAAACTAATAAAGTAAACAATAAACTAATAAACAAATAAATTAAAGAATACACTAATATACCAATAATAATAATAATAATAAACTAATAAAATAAACAATAAACTAATAAACTAATAAAGTAAAGAATAAACTAATACACTAATAATAATAATAATAATTTTAAAACAAGTAAACAATGAACTAATAAACTAATAAAGTAAAGGACAAACAGAGAAGAATAATATACTTATAATAATAATAAAAAACTAATAAAGTAAACAACAGACTAATAAACTAATAAAGTAAAGAATAAACTAATATACTAATAATAATAATAATAATAATAAACTAATAAAGTAAACAATGAACTAATAAACTAATAAAGTAAAGAATAAATTAATATACTAATAATAATAATAATAATAAACTAATAAAGTGACATACTAATAACAATAATAATAATAAAAAACTAATAGAGTAAACACTAAACTATACTAATAATAATAAATAATAATAAACACTAAAATATACTAATAATAATAATAATAATAATAATAATAAACTAATAAAGTAAAGAATATACTAATAATAATAATAATAATAATAAACTAATAAAGACTAATAAACTAATAATAATAATAATAATAATAAACTAATAAAGACTAATAAACTAATAATAATAATAATAATAATATAAAACTAATAAAGTGAACTATAAACTATAAAGTGAACTATAATAAAACTAATAAAAGTGAACAGTAAACTAATAACGATGATTAAAAAAAAAAACTAATAAAGTAATAAACAATAAACTAATAAACTAATAATAATTAAACTATTATTATTAATGTTATTAAGTAAGCTAATAAAAATAACAAACTAGCACAACCAGTAACAAGCAACACCAACAGCCACGCGTAGCACGTGACCGCTAACAAATCGCGACAAACTGCCAACAAACAATCGCCAACAAACTGCGTGAAAAACTCGACGAGAAAGTTGGCGGAAAGGACGGATGGAGAGGCAAGAATGGAAAAAAAATCGAGGGTCGATCCGGCAATCGAGGGCACGGTGGCGCCCAGTTTCGCCGGCCCTGGTGGTGGTAGTCCAATGGAGGGATGGCAGCAGAGGGGTAGCCTCAGCGATGTAACGTCGATATCGCGCTCTATACGCGGGCGTCGCGACGCTAAGTGGGGCGACCGGGGGATAGGGGAAAGTTCCACATGGGTAAAATAATCGATAGCGCGACCGATATGTATGTACCGAGCGCGTATGTACACGTACATAACGGCGGTAGGCGAGCGCAGGCTGGCTCCTATGTACCGTGCGCTATGTGTGTGGTTACACGCGAACCGTGGTAGGGAGACAGAGCGAAGAGAGAGAGAGAGAGGGAGAGAGGGAGAGAGACAGCTGGGCAACTGGGGAGAGACGAGAGAGAGAGAGAGAGAGAGAGAGAGAGAGGACGGTCAGCCTCGTGCACGTAAACGCGTGCTGCCATAAACACGGAAACGAGGCGGAGGGTAGTGGATCGAGGGTGAGAACCTGGACAAGAAGGAGTTTTACCTACGGACAAGCGAACGAGAATGGATAATTTGCGCGGAAGTCGTAGAAACGGGATAGCAAGAGAGGGGAGGGATTAATGGAACACGTATAGTTCGAAATTGGGTGAGAAAAGTCGATCGGTGGATTCCGTGGATTTCGAGCTGGACGATTAACTGATTCGTATAATAATAACGCGAGTAAAAAGAAAATTGGATCTAGCGGGAGCGTAAATGTATTAATTACGTAGTTACAGAGTAGAACTGGCCTGTAGAATAGGGTGTTCGAGACTCGATCGTCTTGAATATGTTTGTCGCTCTTTGGAGGTACGAAAGTTATTCGGTACAGATGGAGTTGGGCTCCAAATTAATTCTTCGTAAATGGGAGAGCTTCGAAGAATGCTTCCATTCTTTCGTTTCAAACGGAATTATGTAATTTTCGATGCAGCTTGACATTTTTTTTTTTTTTTTTTTTTTTTTTTGTAAAAGAATCTAAAGTATCATATATCGAAGAATTATTAGTTTAAAAGATATTTTAATGTTAATTCTGTAAAATCTAGGAAAGGTCCTTTGTGTCTTTTACACACAACAGGTTTCACAAAATTGAGATTAAACTCTATTTTCAAAAAATTTCACTTGCAAAAAAAAAAAAAATTAATTATTGCCTCTTCTGTACTGAACGATTTTCATTTAGAAAGTCCCCTTCATATCTACAAAAACAAAATATTCAAGTTAGATGGCTCATATAACTTGACAACTGATTGATTCGTGACCATTTTATGGATTTCAACCAGGGAATATATGAGAGAGGATATTATTGTTTGAATAAAAAAAAAGATGGAATAGCTGTAAAGAGAATTTCGCGTGAAAGTAGCTAAATTCGTGTAAAAATTATAGGAAAGGATTGATTGTAGGATAAAAATCTGAAACTGATGTGCAGCTTGATGATTGGTCAATTCGTTAGTTTTACAGATTACTATATTTCGTAGATTCATAGTTTTACAGATTACTATATTTTGTAGATTCCGTAGTTTTACAGATTACTAAATTTCGAAAACAAAGAACTGGGAGAAAATGGAATAAAAAAGGATGGGCTAAATCTATAAAGAAAATAAATAATAAACGAGAATAAAACTTTCGTGGAAATTGCCGAACAAGATTGGTCGCGAGGTTGATCTGAAATTAATAACTTGATGAGTATTTTATAGATTTCAATCGGAAACAAAGAACTGCGAGAGAAATAAGGTAGAATAATGTTGTAAACAGGTGTAAAGGAAGTTTCGCATGTGAAGCAAATAAAATAAACAAATGTGAATAGAGAGTTCGCTCGGGAATAATAAAACGAAGCACAGGACAGGTCTGAAATTAATAAAATGCAATCTTCAATTGGACAAGAAGAGACGATTCATAGATTTCGATGAATAATTGATAAATCTTCCGAAAATCTTATCAAATAACATAAAGGGGAGTGATAGACTACTCGATAGCTGTATAAATTATTCACGTGACAATTACAAGGAGTGACTGCAAAATTAGAACTCAAGTTGGAATTGAGTAAGTGGCATCGGAAAGTAAATTCAGTGATTTGGGTCAGTGGATGCTGGCTACAGAAGGATTAAATGACAAAGGAAAAGGTTTTGCATACGGATAATTCGCGCGAAAGTCGAATAAGCGAGTTAGTATAAAAAGTAATAAAACACAGTTTGGAACTGGGTGAAAAGTATCTCGGTGAGAATCTGTAGATTTTCGAAATGAAAAACTGGAAAAAATAAGATGGAGAAAGAATAACGGCAGGAATCTTGCGAATAGTTCTCACGAGAATTGCAATACAAAAGTTGCCAGCTAGATTTAATCCTCGAATAATTTCTTTATATTGTAGTTAAAATTATAAGCTATAATAGCATAATAGATAATTATAGTTATGCAGAATAGATATATCATATTGTATATTATTATATATATAGATATATTAATTTTATATTTATATATTCATATTATATAGATTATTATAATGATATAGATATATTAATACAGATTATTATAATTATACAGATATATTAATATTATATTATACAGATTATTAAAATTATATAGATATATTAATATTAATATTATATTATAGTATTATATTAATTAATTTCATAGTATATTTAATATTAGTTAATATTAATATTATATTATAGTATTATAATATTAATATTAATATTATAATACTATAGATATATTGTAGAATAAATAATTGTAATTAAAATTATAAGCGATTACAAATTTATTTATTTTATTACGTTTATTTATTATTCATTATTAAAATTTGGAATGTTCGTCTTTATTCTGCACTTTTCACCCTCCAGTAAATTTAATTAAATTAAATTAAAAACTTAACAGAGCTATAATTTAATTCGAAGTTGTTATAGTCTACAATATCCGATAATACTAGTTGTGAATTAAAATGAACAGGACGTACACAGTTCGGAATCGTGCGAGGTCAATCGATAAGTGAATCCGTAGATTTCGATTTGAGAATTTTGGGAACAAAGCACTGGGAGGGGATAAAGAAGAATAGTGTGAGTGCGGAGGAAGTTTTGCGTTGGATAATTTACTTGAAAATTGACTAAAATACTGATCACAGGACAATTAAAGACTGAAAATAATTCGGTCACAATCGATTGATAAATTTGTAGATTTAAACTAGTTGATTGACTACACAATTTGTAATAATTCATTTTCACTTGGAGTAACTTGAAAACGAAGAATTGGGAGAAGAACGAGATAAAAAGAGAGATAAAAGACTGCAAGTGTTCTATAGAATTATCATGACGTAACTCACTCTTACGATGTTTTATTTTTACTATGATATTTTCTTAGTTAAGTGCTAAAATGAAATACTGCCACTTGTCAACAATAAATATACACTCCCGTTCAAAAGTCTTAGGACACTTTTTATTTTATAGTATTCGGTACTTATCGTGAACTATCATATTTTATAGCGCAATATAACACAATATAAAGTAATACAATATATCAAAATATTAACAGAGTCTTTATTGCATAAACTGTGTTTCATATTTATATACATCGTATGTATTTATTCTAAATATAATAATTCATATTGTATATTGCACGTTTTGCATATAATTTATACTTTTACATTGTGCTATTTATATTGCAAATATCGTATTCATTCAATTCATAATTTACGTTTATCGTGCTATTTTTGCTTATGTAATTAATTATAAAACAAATTATTTATATAATATTTTATACAAATACAATACTATAATATTTACTGTAACCATTATTAATATACTATTAATTATAAATATTATCAAATTAATACTGTTAATACTATATTATTAAATGCTATAATATTTACTACAAAGATTATTAATACTATTAATTATAAATATTATTATAATTAATACTATATTATTGAATACAATACTATAATATTTACTGCAAATATTATTAATACTATTAATACTATATTATTAAATACAATACTATAATATTTATTACAAATATTATTAATACTATTAATTATAAATATTATTATAATTAATACTATTAATACTATATTATTAAATACAATACTATAATATTTGCTACAAATATTATTAATACTATTAATTATAAATATTGTTATAATTAATACTATTACTACTATATTATTAAATACAATACTATAATATTTATTACAAATATTATTAATACTATTAATTATAAATATTATTATAAATATTATTATAATTAATATAAATATTATAATTATTATTAATACTATTATTATAATTAGTACTTTATTATTAATACTATTATTATAATTAGTACTATATTATTAAATACAATACTATAATATTTAATACAAATATAATACATGGTCTTCAGGATGTAGCTATAACGATACAGAGTTTTCAATGCTCGAAGAACGTTGTCAACTCGAATTACGAAAAATTTAGATTTATTATGATTCTCGACCCTTCGTGCAGATAATAGACGAAAATCGATAATTCGCACGAGGGCGGGAGAAAGCCGATTAGAAGATAGCTGCGAGATTAATATACTTAACATAATAGACATAATACACTTAACATTACTATACTTAACATAATAGTCTGAATAGAATTGTGATACGAAGAGTCGCGATTGTTCGCTTCGTAGATATCGATCGATGGATCTTGGAAACGGAATGGAATAAAGGAAGGTGAAAATGGTTACAAAACGAGTTTTGCATACGGGCAGCAAACGAGAATAGCTAATTTGCGTGGAAATCATAGAACAAGACGGGTCAGCGTGTGAATTGAAAATTAGTAGAACGTAATTGGAAATTGAATGGGGGGGGGGAGAGGGGCGAGGGGGGGTGTGGGCATTCTGCTTCTGCGACGGCTAATGAATCTCGTAAATGGAGAATTGGAAGGGAATACTTGGTGTAAAGAAAGATAGAAACACGAGTTGAAAGAGGAGTTTTACGTATGAATAGCAAACGAGAGCGGATAATTCGCGCGCGCAGTAGTCACAGAAACTGGTTTAGCTAGATTTAACGGAGGGGGAAGTAGTAGATTCGAAATTGATAGAACGTGTTCCGGAATTGAACGAGGGAAGTCACGTGAATTAAATTCGAATTCGTACATGTGTTCCGGCCTGTGAGTTTTTGGGAAATCCAACACAGACTGTTGTACACCCATAAATTTGTTTGTTTCTATCTACGTCACGCGAATTTGTACGTACAAACAGGTCGTTCGAATGACAAACTCGTTTTCTGAAATATAAAATGCAACAAATTGCACGTCCGATGAAAAACATTGCCGACATTCTAAATCTCGCAACGCGCTTTGTCACCGATTTGTTTCGCGAACGAATGGTCTTGAGAAACCTTGACGAACAATTAATAATCGTCGTCGTTGTCCGACGTTCAACGCTTGGTATAATTAATCTACGATTTCGCCACTTCGTTAGGAGAGATTGCGCGGAGATAAAGCTGCGGGGAACGCAGTTACATCCAAGGCGGTGGATAGAAAGAAAGAGGCAGCGCGCGAGCATAAAATTTGCATAGCAGCTTGAAAGAGAGATAAGGGCGTTAATATGGTGGGCAAATAATGATAGTTTAGAGTTTACCTTGCGTCTAACGACGAAACGGCGGAAGAGAACTGACGGGAGGGGGGGGGGGGGGACGAGCGTGGGCGTAAGATCGGTATACGAGCGGCGAAACGAGGGCCGTCTAATAATAACAACCCGTGCAGATTTCCCATATAAACACGGTGATGTGAAAACCGCCGGGGTACGAAGAGAGAGGGTTGGAAATCGCCGTGGTGCGAACGAACAGGCAAAAGGTGAAAGTAAAGTCCCCCGCGCGCCCGGCTCACTCTGTAAAGCGAGAGAGATAAAGAGAGAGAAAGGGAAATAAAAGCATGCTCGTTACACTATGATCCCTATAAAGTTAATCTAGCACACGTGAAGAAGAGACGGATAATTAGAAACACTCGCGTGTGATATTCACTTTTATCCGTGTTATTCATTGTGTTAATTTCTTTTGCACACTTTTTCTTACAAAATGTCGTAACACGTACTAACATGTACTTCTGACATTTCGCATCGTGTTGTGACGCGTGTTTTTGACATTTCTTAACATTTAACATGTATGTATCATTTTTAATAATAAAGTTAGAATAGCAGGTAATATTCTCAAGTCTCTCTCGAAGAAGAGAGTACATTGTCTTTTAATTATATTTATATATAATAACATATTGCATTTAATTATTATATTGTCATAATTGTGCATAGTTTTGGTATATAATTGTAACAAGTCGAGAACAAATGATTATAAAGTTAAACGAAAATAAAAAGCTAAAAAGGTGTTAACGTCTCGATTAAATGATTGAACGTGAAATCTACGCGCGAATCTACGTATTGTCGCTAAAAGAAAATAAATTCAATGTGTAAATTCAATTATCAATTTCTTCTTAACTTTTTCTTAATCGTTTCTTAATTCCTTCTTAAAAAGAATCTTTCGCCTCTTGCGCTGGAATGACGTGAGAATTGTTTGTCCCAAAATTGCAATGTTTTCACACAGTTTTGAGTACATTTAAGTGTAACCCGGACAAAACAAATAATAAATTTATTAATCCTCAATCATTTCTATCGTACAGTGTAACGACGTAACACCGACGAGTTCGAGCGAAAAGGCGACGAATTTATTGTACACGGTTCGGGTCACTCGTTACGGTCCGCAATCAGCTGCCAGCGCAAGTGGTTATTTAATCTGACACCAAGGGACAAATTAAGCTGGCGGACGGATCATGCTCGAAGGAGGGTTAAACTAAAAAAAAAAGAAAAAAAGAAAAGGAGATTAAACGAGACGAAATAAATACCATCGCGAGATGCCACCTTGTGCAAAACGAAACAACTCTCCCCCGCAGCAAAAGTGCAAACGCACGAAAAGCCAAAAGGAAAGGAGAGTTCCGCGGGAGAAGGTGAAAGGGGCGCAAAAGAAGGGAGAGAAAAATTTGTATACCGTTGGCTGCGCGGAGGGGGTGGGAGGGGGAGGTTAGGGCGCAACGCCGAACGCGCTTGTGTGAAACCGTACATATCCCTCGGAAAGAGACCCGGGAAGGAAGAGGGAGATAGCGGCGAACACATACGCGGCAAGTATATGTGCGACCGCAAGTATATGGAACTAACAGAGAGACGGAAACGAGGGGTGAAGAGGGCAACGAAGGAGCGAGGGAGAGAATCCGAGCGAAGAACACGAGCGGCGTAGGTGAGAAAGCAAGACACGAGACAGAGAAACCATATGTACCTAACGTGAAATTTGTACATGGCCGCAAAACTGTACTGGCGAGACTGTGAGGCCAGAAACGCCGGCCAGGGGTTGCACGGAGGGGAATTGAAACGCGTACGTAACGCTTAGGCACACGTACACGGACATAGTCACAGGCAACCGGTCGGTCGGCGGTCATCGCGAGCGCGCGCCCTAACACACCCACGACGGCCATTGAAATTTTCCGAAACTGTACCGCAAAACGCTCGGCGAAAAATTCGAAAGTTCCGCCGCGGCGTGTCCTCGCGTTTTTTCCCACCGATTTTTGCCGAACGGTAATTCGACAAATTCGCATAGAACGAGTAGACTTTCTCACGACTTTCTTGACTTTCGTTCCGTTTCGAAGGTTCAAGGTGATGGAATTAGGAATGTTGAAAGATGTTTCTAAGACACTTTCAGGAGGGGGGGCGTAGTTGTTGACCGATATTGAAATTCCTGGCTTTCTTTGATGGAATATTCGAGAACATTCCACGCACTCCTTAAAATTCATTTCTTGAATGACGCATCTCTTGGTGCGAGATAGCTTCGCGCGTTATGATACCGTTCGATTTGCGGCGGGGAACTTGATTCGAAGGCGACCTAGATATACATTCTTTTCGAATTACGATCGACCTTGCGGTTCTTGATCTTCTTGCGTATTTTGCGGAAAATTCACAAAGTCTGTGCTTATCCAACAAAAATGTGACAAAACGCAATGGTTAATGTCGATACGTTAGACGAAATTAGTACAATTTACAATTTTCTTTTTAAAGCAAATGCAATCTACTTGTCTATTCATCTAGAAAGAGAATAGTTAAAAAAGATATAAAAGTTTATCTTACATACTTATTTATTTACTTATAGATTTATGTATATTTATTATACATTTTTTTCTATGTATATACCATCACTCTCTATAGTATCATAATTATAAGCTGTCGTTCAAAAGTATCTGGATACTTATTTTTACTTTTGATACATTTAAATTTGTAACTACGGATCCTCGAACGTTATGCTAATTGATTGAATTCAACTGCAATTATTTTGTTCTTTATAGTCACCATATCTATGTAATACAATAGAATATTGCGACGCCAAAATAAAATTGATATACCGTCATTAAATATATTTTATTACTGGATAAACTATTAAATTCTTCAATTCGCAAGTGATATTATGAAAATTTCTTTCAATTGACAGACAAAATTTTTAGTGGCAATGATACTGAATGATAGTAAATAGCAAAATACATTATTACAAAGTTGATGAATTGTTACTTTATACATCTATGGGAAATTCAAAATTGCAAAAATGTATACATTGCATACAACGTGCAAAATTACACAAAATACCCATAGTAGAATAGTATTCATTAATAAAGCAAATTTCATTTTATTTCACGTTTATAAAAATTTAAGGGTGCGTAAAGGTCTGCATTAATGCATCGTTTAATTAATCTGCCAATCTCATGAAAAGAAAAAAGAAAAATATCATTTACAAATGCCATCGCAATTCATCGTTAATTCGTACACTTCAATTTAAATTACTATCATTATTAATCGATTAAACTATTCGTACAGTTGTAAACGATAGCGTATCATCGTTTCGTTTTCGCGGAACGAATATGCTGATTTATACCGGAAGAAGGCGGCCGATGAAATTTGGCTTGAATTCGAATATCGATTTAAAATTAGGAAACGTCAAAGGCGTCTTTTTCCATTCGGCCACATTCGATAAAAATTCGCATTTTTATCGGCCAGAAAAAGAAGAAGGCGAGGTTCGATCGGCGGAATCGCGCGCGTTCCTCCGCTATCGATTATTCGGCCGCGCGCGGGGATTTTAATTTCGCGCGGGCAAAAAGACCGCCGGGAAACGGACGGAGAATTTTTATGAATTAACGAGATTTTGTTGCGCGTCCACTCCTCCTCCGCATCGTAACGTCGAATGGAATGTAATTAGGTTGAAACAGGAAGCCCTCGGGCCTCCTTCGACGCATCCACCCGTTTCCGGCCATTTTATTTTATTTTTTTTTTTTTTTTTGTTTTTATCCGCCGTTATCTACCTACCCTCTCTGCACGGAGTCGCCATCTACGAGCCTACGATCGTTTCTACGCGAAAAAGGACCAAGTTCGACTTCAAATTTCTCAAAACGCACGTGTAGACGAATTATCACCGTAATCACTCATTATTCGAACAAACGTTTCAGATGAAACTTGTCTATTTCATTATTATTTGTCTAATTGGTTTTATTTTAATTTTATTTTAACTTTACTTTATTTTATTTTTATTTTTAGTTTGTTTCTTTCTTTCTTTTTTTTTTCTACAGCAGAGAATACTTTTAAATGCCTTTTATTAAAATTTTAACATAGATAAAAGTCCCGTGTCTGTGCGGGACTGATTTCAAAACTTTATCGTATAGTAGGAGAAAATTTTATATATACGAATTGTTTTGTGTACTATAAGAAGAGACGTAATGTGATGTAATTTTATTTTTTGTATAAATAGATGAGGAGATATTACGATAATTGTTGAGGGGATTTCAAAATCATTCGTACGAAACACTCATCATAAATTAAAATATAGGGAAAAAATTTACAAATATTATTTCTTTGAAATTCGCGATTATTTATACCTCTCAATAATAAATAGATGCGTGAAAATACCTGGCAAAAAGTGGCTTCAATCAACCATTAATTGAAGAATTCAATCAAATGTATTTAAAGATATTCAAAAATATTGAAATCCTCTGTGTTCACGAATTAAATAGAAATCGCCAATTCTATTTTCCCATATTTATATTTCAGACAAATACAACGAACAAGTATTGCATTACATGCGAATGGCGTTCGCTGCCAGGAGTGTTTTAAAGGAATATGAATTACGAAAAGGAACACGCTTTACGAACAGAGATTCGAAGAATATTGAGAAGATGAAAAGGGATTTTAAGTCAAGCGTATCCCTTTTTCCAGCAACATCAATCACGCTCTTCAACGCATGCTAAACAGGAAGTACACTTCCAATAGATCTCTAATCGATATGAACCGCGCTAAAGCAAAGATTAAATCATGCATTCCAATAAATGTTCGAACAAACTGCTTCAATACCAATGTATCGACTTGACAAAGCATCTCTTTCTTTCTCAAACTTTCCACGGTCGATCAACATCTATAATTGTTTCGTCACTAGCCACGTGCACGTGTTATATTATATTTATTTCTCTCCCGTCTCTGTCTTTCAACGACGAGAGAAGCTCGTGTAAAGAAACACGTGCCAGTACGATATCACAATAAATCATCTTATTGTTAGAATGAATGAACAATCTATAAAGAACCAATAAATAAATATAATAATCTCCAAAAATAGAATAAACAAATAGTAAAAATTATTAAATAAATGAGTAATAGAACGAATACCTGAATAATCTGTAAAGAATTAATAAATAAATATAAAATTCTCCAAAAACAGAACGAATGAATAATAAAAAAAATCAATGAATAAATGAATAATCTCTAAAGAACCAATAAATAAATATAATAATCTCCAAAAATAGAATAAACAAATAGTAAAAATTATTAAATAAATGAGTAATAGAACGAATACGTGAATAATCTGTAAAGAATTAATAAATAAATATAAAATTCTCCAAAAACAGAACGAATGAATAATAAAAAAAATCAATGAATAAATGAATAATCTCTAAAGAACCAATAAATAAATATAATAATCTCCAAAAATAGAATAAACAAATAGTAAAAATTATTAAATAAATGAGTAGTAGAACGAATACATGAATAATCTGTAAAGAATTAATAAATAAATATAAAATTCTCCAAAAACAGAACGAATGAATAATAAAA